GCTAAGGCATATCAGCATTGTAAAAATCATAAATATCATTCTCCATCTCTTGGGAGATAAGGTGAACTCGGGCACGAACCACAGAGACAGCCTCTTGACCAAAACGCATATCAAGTTGTTGAATTAGCTCATCAAGATAAGGTAAGTAGATTGCCCGTTTAAAGTATTCTTTATCTGATGTAGAGGGTACATTGTTATGATGTGTCTGTCTAGCACAACGACGGGGCATTTTTAACTCATCAAGTCCAGCCTTTACTGCCATGCCAGACGCTTTACTGTAAACTAAGTCAAACTCTTGTTCATTTTTACGGGTTTCTTCGATGATCTGTTTCACAGCTCCGATCATTTTATAACCTTCAACAATGTCCAAAGATGAGCCTTGAAGCTTAGAACTTACTCCACGTACATAACCAAGGAAGTTGTGTACTGTATGGAAGCACATAATAAATGTACTATCTGTTATTTTGGACAGAAGGCCATGAGCGTCCGTAATAGCCTTTCTGTCCCACGAACGTCCCTCATTGTAGCTTATGGCTTCTAAACACCCTACCAATGCCTCATACATTGTCGCGAATGTGTCGAGTGTGGCGTGTTTCTCTGTCCACCTAGTTTCGTAGAAGATTTTGAATTTTGATTTAGAAATTTTGTTATTATCTTGTCGATTGTTGTTAACATCTTCTACTGCCGTTTCTAGTCGTCGGCTTCTTTTAGGGGAGTATTTAAAAAATATCCCAAGTTGTTTGAGAGAATCTAGCATGAGATGGATTTCTGTAACCATACAACTTTTACACAGCACTAAACTTAGATTGTGACTAGCACAATAATGATACGTTGCGCGTGGAGAGATACGTGGCAACCGTGCGGCACACCTGGCATTTTTCCCGGACATATTTCCTGCCTCATCCATAGTCTGCGATCTACATAACTGGATGTCCAAACCATTACTAGTGAGGGACTGAACGATAAGATTACAAAGTGATTCGCCAGTAGTTTCCTCCGCCAAAATAAATTCTAGCAGGCGTTCTACTTGAACTCCATCGACGACATAACGTAAAACCAGTCCTAATTGTTCCCAATTGCTAGTGTCTGATACCTCGTCGCATTGGATTCCATAGTATCCACCAAAAGGCTGAGACTTCACTTCTTCCACAATAGATTTCTGAATGTATGTCTTTATGCAAGTTAACAGCTCGTTCTGAGAAGTGTTTGATGTGTAGGTTGCTACTTTTGAACACGTTTCAAAATGTTGTTCTAGGGTTGTATCGCCCGCTTCTATTCTAAATTGTATAAGTTCTTTGAAATTACCCTTGTTCTTACTATCGCCTGCATCATCATCCCGATGTCCCCGAAGCGCCATTCCACGCCTACCACAGAACTCTAAACACTTAAGCATAGATCTGATGATATCGCGGTTCTTAGCGATGATTGCGGCATTATTCGATTGCAGATTGACGTCGATTCTGAGCGACTGATTGACACACGATTTCTTAAACCCGTTCAATCAAACCACCGAGTCAGCGTGATAACCAGTCTGTGCATGCTTTTTCAAATCCATAGTGGCGTCTTTCCATTTATTGAATGGTTCTGTAACCAACAATCTTGGTCTGCAACCGGATGTGTCCGGAAAAAACTTACAAGCAAGGCAATATAACCCATCTTTCGACTTTAAATAAGCTATGAATGGGAATTGCTCAAACCAATCGCGACAACAAGAACTTTTAAAAGTACCGCTTTTGCATCTTTTATCTTTATATAATTTGAACGGAAATTTAAAGCCCCGTTCCAGACACCGATTAGACAAAATCCTGAATTTTACATCATCCGATAGGGTATGTTCATCGATGACTCCAATATCATCTGATAATCGCGATCCCGAGGTATCGTCAACTTGAATTCCCGCAGTTTCTTCGTTTCGTTCATTAGTGAAGATAGAGGACTCATCATCTCCAGTACCGGAAGTTTCATCGTTATTGTCATTATAGGACATAAATGAATCATCATTTCGAGTACCTGTAGTTTCAACGTTATTTTCATTGATGGACACAAAAGACTCATCCAACTACGAAGTTTCATTGTTGCTTCCGTTATCAGAGTGGAACGAAGACTCTTCCTCAACTGGCATTTCATGGGCAGTACGTTCTATATTTGGTATTTCAGTCTCATAGTCAGTTGATACTGGTGAATTAGACGCCCGGACGAATCGAACTACGCCAGAGTCGACCACTCTTAGTTTAGAATTAATAAGGGGTGTTATCTCAAACTGTGATTCAGCGATTTGGTCTGTGATCGATTTGTTTAAATCTTTGATATATGATATCAAACTTGAACACGAAGCAAATGACAGTACAACAGCTTTACCGGATGGAACACATAGTCCCATGTCATTGCGACTGTGTGAATCAATACAATAAAGTACCCCTTGAGCCTTTTTTAAACCGATAGTTGAACCAGGGTTACTCCCAAGTGTAATGAAAGAGGTTTCACTCTGTGATAATGATTGGTGTATTGCAGACTCTAAAGTAAATGTTAAAGCGTCAGAATTGTCCCTTTCCTGTTCCACAAGTCCACTCATCGGATCTTTCAATGTAATAGCGTAACTTTCGTTTTCAATACAAATATTCTCCGGAAACTCTGTTATTAGCATGTAGCCATCGGTAGAACAAACCTTATGGTACAAGTCAGTACCTCTTAGAAGAATATTATCTACTTCATCTCTAGTCTTTGGAATAGTATTATCCAACATGAAAGCCAATGAAATGCATGTACATTGTCGTCCACCGCCGTCTATATCACCTTGATGCATGGACCCTTTGCAAACCAGCCTAGAATGCAAGAACAATTTGAATAACACAAACACGGATGATACACTTGACACATTTTTACGGAACTTCCCCATTTTTGCATTCTTGTTAAAGTTCATGTCATTGCTATACACGTAGCCAAATGACGGCCATCCGCCGTAAAAAATCAAAGTCCAATTACTGCCACAAAATTTGACGAAACATATATGAGGGTGGTAAAGGGTTATTTTTGTGCAACGTGATCGTTTTTTAATTCACGTTCAACGTGTTCTGCTTATTTAATTTTAACGTGCATCGTGATTTTCAAATGCTTATTTTTCGTGCTCGGTATTTTTCAAATAAATTTCAAACACTTGGCAGGGATCGTCAAGAAAAACAAGGGGGGTTGTTATAATTTTGTTTAAAAGCCGTAAACCATTTATATCATAAATGTGTATACTAAATCGGGAATATCAAGTAAAACAGAGAGTTTATATACTAGTATACAAGAAGAAAGTGACTCAGTCACAAGTCAAAAGGTTCACATCAAAGTCTTTATTTTTCGCGCAACGTTCATGACGGAAATTATTTCACGTTCATCGTGAAATTATGTCTTATTTCCCGGTTTTTTTTATGCGAGCACCCCCTTTTCGAACCCTCATATGTAATGGATTTAATTTTATAACACTAAACAACTGCATTGAACTGTGCAAATGTTAAAAACATGTATCCGGCCGTTCTCGAGTTATTATATTAAAACCACAGGGTGGACGTGTTTGTGCTGTATTTAGACCCCTCTACCAAGAAATTTGTTTTGCATGGACACGTATAAAAATTGTGGTTTTTATCCACCTAAATCATAGGTTTGAACGTTGTTTTCAATTTAGACTTGTACTAACGTATGATACCCCGTTCTAGATATAGTCAAATCTGACCCCTTCCAAGGCAAGGCGAAAAAAACATAACCCCATTTCAGATAATTTAGCTATAAATGTAACCCCGTTTGTAGGAACATACCTGGTATCATATACATAGTGAGTGCCCCCCCTGGTAGATGTATAATGACCATTGAGGAAGTGTCACACAAAACAACCATTTCATGTATAGATTTACTTACCTTTTTGGTTGTTTAAAAAAGGTGTCCAAGACACCTTGAGATAATTTAAAGGTCTTTTGACGCTTTTGTTTTGACGTCGACATCTTTGACGATTTCACTATATATCACGTCAACAACAATGGATACTAATCGCAGAGTCAAATACGGCGGAGAAACGAAATTTTACAGATCACACATCGGATGGGGGAATCAGTATAAAAAGAAATCAGAGTATGTGTTTAATTGTTGAATATGAAAAATTGCCATATTCAATACAATATTAGCAGATTACGATAGTCTTTTTTTTTTTTTTTTTTTTTTTTTTTTTGGAAAAGGGGGGGCGTACGCCCATTACGCCCTAACCTGGACCCGCCCCTGGCGATTACAAACTCTCTGTGCGTACTGTACATGCATATTTGTTGCTTTTCTTGTTAAACATTTAAAATTTTTCATTACAGAGTGCATGCAAGTACTAAAACACTACTTAATCAAAGCTTCATTTATTTATGTACAAACACTCTCTCTTATGAGAGCTTAAAGCTTTTTTTTGTGTATGCTGTTTGTATACATGTCTGTTAATGAATTATCTTTAACTTGTATGATTGCATTTGATTTCCCTTGTTCATGATTTGACCTCTGGATTTCAATTTTGGTTCTTATATTTGCCAATGCTATATATGTTACAGAAATTTTGTCTTTTTTTTACTGTGGGGTTCAATATGCATCTTTTTTTCGTATAAACTTTTTTATTTCACCCTTGTATTTCCTTGAGGAATTTAACTCTGTCTTGCCTCTGTGAAAAGAATGTATGTACAAACTGTGAACAATTCTTTATAAGATGTATGTAAAAGCTGTGAACAATTCTTTATAAGATGGATGTACATACTGTGATTAATTCTTTATAAGATGTATGTACATACTGTGAACAATTCTTTATACGATGTATGTACATACTGTGAACAATTCTTTATACGATGGATGTACATACTGTGAACAATTCTTTATACGATGTAAACACATACTGTGAACAATTCTTTATACGATGGATGTACATACTGTGAACAATTCTTTGTAAAATGTATGTACATACTGTGAACAATTCTTTATAAGATGTATGTACATACTGTGAACAATTCTTTATAAGATGGATGTCCCTTGGCATTGGGTACAAATGGTAAAGCATAGTATGGTAAAAACTCTGTTGTCTGACTCAGTGTAGCACCTCGGGTTTCTAAGTACTTCTTAAAATCTCCCATAGCTCTGTCAGCATCTCTCTATAAAGAAAAATCAACATGGCTGTTACCTTCATATTACTGAATATTAATTATTATTCATGGGATATTAGTTTTTGTGGATTTCCTGGGTAAAGGGAAACCACAAATTTTAAAGTTCAACGAAGTACAAATTTACTATTGGTTTATATTTGATTTTTGGCAAAACCTCAAAATCAAATATCCAAGAAACTACAATTTTTCTTCAATCAACAAAAAAAATGTATTCACAGTATAAAACATTACAGATAATACAGCAAAAATTATAAATATTTTACCACCATTTTGATTCTGGTCCAGATATCATATATATCTGTACAACAATATTGAAAAGGATATACTAACATGGTTACACAAATTATCTTACCTGACCTCTTGCAAACTTTATTGGATACACAGCAAAATATATATTGACATAAAATTCTAGTTTCTTTGCCACTGGGTCCTGGTCTTTGACAGAGGCTGCCAAATTTTCACTCCATAACTTCAGAAATCTGTCTCTCTTTCCTTTATGGAAATTTTGCATCAATTCATTCTAAAAACAAAAGTTCATACAAAACATGTGAAAACAAATTCAAAGATGACAGCTTTAAAAAATTTCATTATTTGGAATCTTCCAAATGGATAAAAAATAATCATCGAGTAGATTTGGTCGTTCTTTTTGGGGGTTTTGTTTTATTAACATAGCATCAACTATTCCTGAATAATGAAAAACTATATGTTTCATTTTGATGAAGAATTTAATATTTTGATTTTTTTGTTATGAAATGCTATTATTGAATGTGTCAATGAGACAACAACCCGACCAAGGAGCAGAAAACAGCCCAGCAAAAAAAGAAGCAGAAGATGGTGATTGGTTTTTTTTTGTGTTTAATGCCTATTTCAGTACACTTGGCTATATAATGAGGGCCATTTTTTATTTGTGGTGGAAGTCAGAGTATCCAGAAAATCCATTGCATTCAGCATGAAAACTTGCAATCCAAGGCGATTAAGATTTGAGTCAAACAAACCTTGGCTTAACAGGGTTCGAACTTACAACCTGAGTGTACAAAGGCTAGTAACCACTGTAGATGAACTATTTAGATCACTTGGCCAACCAGGCCCAAAGACACAAAAGGGACAATCAAAAATCATAATAACATGTTTATTGGAAATTTAATAATTTGTTTAGTGTAGATTTGCCTTTGTGTAATCATTACAGTTAATTCTAAATGAATAAAGAAATTGCACTATATATATTTTTTTTTTTGGTTTTCTGTATTGCCTATTTATTTTTCGTTTGAATTTGACTTTATTCTGTGATTCAATTACAAATCACTATTACTGGTGAATTTTTAGTGAATGCTGGTGATCTTAGATGATTCACTCTGAAATCTTCCTCCAATTACATTTGACTATTTATGATGAGGTTGTAGAATAGATTATTATCGCCTCCAATTACCTTGTATGACAGTGTATCCCTAAACATCAGCAAGCTTAGAGTGTTTTTTTTTACTGCATCACCTAGTGTGTTCAGTATTTAGTTGTTTCTATTAGTATAATTACCATGACAACCAATTAAATGTATAACCAGTACTTTGTTATCCGAATCTGAGTACAAATACTTATATTTCTTTTACCATGACTACAGAATAGCTGTATAGGCACATGCCTTCTGTTTAAATCAAGGATTTGTATTACCATAACAACTGAATACCTGTATAGCCAGTAATTTCTGGTTTGATTTAGATTTTATACTCTGTGTAGTGATAGGTTTCTGCTTTGTTTCGCATTCTTTCTGGAAAGATACCAACGTCTTGTCAAATGTCACAAACTCCAGGTACTGAAAAATACAATTGTACAAGGTCAAGCTCATTGTCAATCAATTCCCATGGCCAACAAAGTATCTGATGAACAAAAGTAGCTAGTAAAAACTGGTCAATTCTTAACTTGTAAAACTATGGATAGGATATGAGTATTTTTGTTTGAAAGTTTACTGTGACAGTGTTGAGTGTATCAGTGTTCTTTTTATGATGTCATGCATAATTAGCATACATGTACAACTTAAATTTCTTCCAATGCAAATTTCAATAGGTTTTTGGGATCGCAAACAGAGTGTATGCATCAATAAAAAAGATTTAAAAAAAATGTTTGTCAAACATATAGTGACTTTTTAAAATTATGTTAGTAATTATGACAAATACTTTATCTGAGTTGAAAATTCAGTTTGGTAAAACCTGCACTTTATTTTAGACCTAATTGTAGATGAAATCCAGAAGATGTTGTCAACTTTCACAAAATTCTCTATGTTCTACCCACAGGCACTTGTCTCAGAAAAAAAATTTCCTATACACCTTAATATAAAAATAAAAATTCTGAGACAAGTGCCTGTGGTTCTACCCAATTGGGGTGTAACTGACAAAGCTTTGTAAGAAAATCAGGACAAAAATCTTCACATTTCACTTTCTCACATACATGTAAGTGAATATACATGTATGCATTAAATTAAAGCACTTTTCATTTTACAACAATGGACTTAATATTTGAGGCCCGAAAGGGCCTTTCCTGAACCAAACCTACAAATGTACTACATTTTCTACTTTGTAATAAGATTTATAACATTCGTTTTGTTTTTGACAGTACTCATACTTCACAGAAATAAAGTTTGCAAATCAAATATTTTACATCTAGATAGAATAAGAAATTAAATGATGATTTTTACAGCATAACTAAACATTTCTTTTTTGATAACTCTAAACTCTCTCTTCAAAATTCTGTGTTGTCCACCTCAAATCATTAATTGAACTATTAGACTAAAAGGCTTGACTACTGCATTCATTATATATAAACTAAAATAGCACTTTTTTATAGGATGTAACCAAAAATATTTGTCTAATTATTAATAACTTACCTCTTGTACAATGGCATTGAGTTCTCCCTCAAATGACACAACAGACAGAGATCCAGACATATCTTGTTTCTACCTACCAATTATAAAATTTGCATTATCAAACAAAAAAGGAAATCAAGGATTTCTATTATCAATTCTAGCAAATGTATAATTAATTGTTCGTAATCTCTCCTACTGAGGCTCCTTAAAAGTAAGCAGATTCTGCTCCAGTAGTGGCACCCTTAGTGTTGCTCATGAAAGTAAAGGGTTACACAGAGGTCGAACCCTGTGTCTTGCTTGCATATGCTGCTGTTGATCTAAAAGTGTAATGCTGATTGCTAAAATACTTAGTCCTTTTACATTAAAAAATTCGTAAGGGTTCCGCGGAACCCAGTGTCTCGCCTACTTTTTCTGTTAATCGCAGGCTCAACAAAAATGAGGAAGTAAATCAATAAAAATATTCCTCTTGAAACTATCTTTTGATTGTAAGAAGCTTCTGTCCAAGTTTGGTAAAATCCAGGATAGTTTATGAATCTAATAAATGTTTAAAAACTTTAACTGCAGACTGAATGTAATTTTAACTGGAAGAAAACAAAATTTCTTTCTAGATACTAGCATTTGATTATAAACAAGCTTCTGTCCAAGTTTGGTACAAATCCAAAATAGTATAAGAAAGTTATTAAAATTTAAAAAACTTTAACCACAGAGTGATTGTGTTGTTTCCTGGCAGAAAATCTAAGTCCATTTAAAAGTAAAATACGGAAAAAATGGATTTATTTTTTTACAAAATTTCCTTCTAGATACTAGCTCTTGATCATAAACAAGCTTCTGTCCAAGTTTGGTACAAATCCAAAATAGTATAAGAAAGTTATTAAATTTTTTAAAACTTTAACCACAGAGTGAATGTGTTGTTTCCTGGCAGAAAATCTAAGTCCATTTAAAAGTAAAATAAGGAAAAAATGGATTTTTTTTTTTTACAAAATTTACTTCTGGATACTATCTTATGATCATAAACAAGCTTCTGTCCAAGTTTGGTAGAAACCCAGGATAGTTTAAGAAAGTTATTAAAATTTAAAAAACTTTAACCACAGAGTGAATGTAATATTTCCCGGCAGAAAAACTAAGTCCATTTATAAGTAAAATACGGAAAAAATGGAATTTTATTTTTACAAAATTTACTTCTGGATACTATCTTATGATCATAAACAAGCTTCTGTCCAAGTTTGGTAGAAATCCAGGATAGTTTAAGAAAGTTATTAAAATTTCAAAAACTTTAACCACAGAGTGAATATTTGTGGACGCCGCCGACGACAACGACGACGACGACGCCGACGGAATGTAGGATCGCTATGTCTCGCTTTTTCGACTAAAGTCGAAGGCTAGACAAAAAATCCAAAAAAATCAACCTTTTTTTTCAGATTCTATTTCTTGACCTTGCAAAAGCTTACTTCCAAATTTTAAAACATTCCATAATAGAAAAACAAAGGATATGGGGTATCCATCCATGACACAATTCAGTACATGCACAGCAAAAAACACACAAAAAGCAAAAGAACAGTGCTTTTATTGCTGTTCTTTATCTCAAAGTCCTAGGGAGGCCTTTAACACGGAGCAAAACAAAACCTTTCACCTCACTGCAAGTTTAAGACGGCCTCTAACACTGGTTTGAGCAGAATTCTTTGCAAAATGACCTTCTTTAGACTGCTGTACCCAGATCAGTTCCACTCCGACCTAAGCACTGTTTTGGTAATAGACGTATTTACACTTGTATGCAAATTTGTCTGCCATTACGTAAAATCACAGGTTCCCGTAAACTTTGACATCATAATTCAAAACATTTGACGTCACAATTAAAAAGTGATTGTTGCCTGACGTCAAAAGGTGATTCGGAGTAGATCTAAGGTCATTCGGAGGCAAAATATAGCTAAATACCAAAAGTGTAAATACGTTTATTGTGTTCATTGGGGTCCACTCCACATGCACACTACAGTGGGATACATCTATCAGCATTCCTCGGAAAACTTAAAATGCATTTAAATATACAACCATACTATTATGCATATTTTGGCGTTAATATTGATTCACTTATAGGGTCTTTGCATCGGCACTAAACACATTTATTTAAAAACCAGTTGTTGGCATGACACGGGTTATGTTCTTCTCATATATGTTATGATGGTATGATACTAAACCCCTAACGGGAAGGATTGTGCCTGATATTCATACGATGAAGACATAATCTTTCAATCAGTTTAATTGAAGTCTGGAGCTGGCATGTCAGTTAACTGCTAGTAGTCTGTTATTTATGTATTATTGTCATTTTGTTAATTTTCTTTGGTTACATCTTCTGACATCAGACTCATACTTCTCTTGAACTGAATTTTAATGTGCGTATTGTTATGCGTTTACTTTTCTACATTGGCTAGAGGTATAGGGGGAGGGTTGAGATCTCATAAACATGTTTAACCCCGCCGCATTTTTGCGCCTGTCCCAAGTCAGGAGCCTCTAGCCTTTGTTAGTCTTGTATTATTTTTAATTTTAGTTTCTTGTGTACAATTTGGAGTTTAGTATGGCGTTCATTATCACTGAACTAGTATATATATTTGTTTAGGGGCCAGCTGAAGGAAGCCTCCGGGTGCGGGAATTTCTCGCTGCATTGAAGACCTGTTGGTGACCTTCTGCTGTTGTCTGTTCTATGGTCGGGTTGTCTCTTTGACACATTCCCCGTTTCCATTCTCAATTTTATTATTTGCCAAAAGGTTACGATAAACCTTTGAAAATATTCAGATGTAAATGAAGATCAAGATGCATACAAAATTGCATTTACCTGGATTATGTAGATGTAAATGAAGATGCATATAAAATTGCATTTACCTGGATTATGTAGTTTATTTCTCTTTTAGTCCATTTACTTCTATAGTTCTTGGAATTATTATGAGAATATGCTATTTTTTGTTCATTTTTTTCTATTTTTCTTTGATTTTTATGGTATGCGATGTAAACAATCTTGGAATTATTATGAGAATATGCTATTTTTTGTTCATTTTTTTCTATTTTTCTGTGATTTCTATGGTATGCGATGTAAACAATCTATGTCAAACAGACGCATGGTCTTTGTTAAATAAACGCTTTATTTAATATAAGGTAATTTCGTACTATTTGGCTTTATACCGTAACACTAGTACTAAATTCTGAAACAGTACAAAGAAGGAGAAAATAATTTAAAAAATCATCATGATTTATTTGTATGCTTAAGTATGTTATTTAGGAATTTAATAATTGTGAAGTTCTTAGACATTAAGATTAGATTTGAGTTATCTCTCTTTATACCACGAGGGGAGTCTCTTCCTATATGAAGGTAGAGTGGGTGGCGCATATTCGCCTTGGACACATTTTCGACGTTTTGCTATTTTTTCTGTAAAATTTGTGTGCCTTTACCCAATACTTGCCTAAATAGATGGTAAAGGCTGTTTGTAATGTTACAACTGTTGATATTCCTCTTTAACCCATTTCCAAGGTTATTCGCACATATTGAGAAATACGCAGGTGTTTTTAAATGATTTTGGCAATTATGTAAAATTTATATGGCAATCATGCACAGTCTTAAAGTAAATATTTGCGAGAAAAATCGTATAGGAATGATCTCTCAAGCTAATTCATGTAATTGCAAACATTCGTTTTTATAATGATACCAGGATAATGAGGATTGTCATATCATACATTGCGGCGAAATGGTACACGAACAACTTGATTTCCTCTTGAGTTTGCGTTCGTTTTTAGAACAATTAACCAATGTTTTGAAGATAATTTCTTTAACAAAAATTTTTTTCATATAGTTAAATTTCTGAAACCTTCATAAAAAGTTCCAAATATTCGAATGTAGGTCGGATGTAAGTGGAAATGAACGAATTATGCGGCGAATATGGGTCTCTCACTCTATATACATATGTGCCGCTGGAATGGGTCCCTTTTTTGAGACGTCAAATATATCAATGGGGTGCAATTTTACCGAGGAAATATATCAATAGGTAGTAATTGACCAATTGTGATATATCAATGGGTCATAATTTTTCAGTTTGTTGTGCAACGATCTTCACTGAATTTCCAAAACTCTTTGTCATTAAAATTTCCACATCTGCTGAAAAAAAGTAAAATCACTAAATTACCGAACTCCGAGGAAAATTCAACCGGAAAGTCCCTAATCACATGGCAAAATCAAATGACAAAACACATCAAACGAATGGACAACAACTGTCACATTCCTGACTTGGTACAGGCATTTTCAAATGTAGAAAATGATGGATTGAACCTGGTTTTATAGCGCTAAACCTCTCACTTGTACGACAGTCTCATCAAATTCCGTTATATTTACAACGATGCGTGAACAAAACAGACATTATAAATAAAATAGTCAAAATATGGGTACAGCAGTCATCACTGTGTTACAATATCAAAACAAACAATTATTTACAAAAAAGCACAAAAGCATCTATCAAATTAAAAACCACATTCATTGCTCCGAAACTTATTGACACAAGTTTTGTTATTGATCAAATTTTATTACACTGTCACAATTAATAATCTTTACCCACTAGAGTATAGTAAAAAAAAAGGTCACATATCGAACCTTTTGCACTTATTGAATATATGAATGGGTTATGATTTCGCTGTGAAATATATGTATAGGTAGGGATTTCACAATATTTCAATATATGAATGGGGGGGGGGGGGGGGGTTAAATCCCAGCTGCACAACTGTACCCAAAATCCCATGTTGAGACCCTCACCCGTTCTTTATACAGCTGATTAATTCTATACTCTAAACGGATGTCATATTGTATAATTGCAACAAGTTTGTCTTCTGTGAAAACATGTGTAACTATGTGTAAATCAGTTTTATGTTTCTGTTTTTGTGATTATAGAGGGGATGGACACTTTTGAGGGAGGTGGGAGAGAAAAAAAGATTCTAAAAGTGGGAGGTGGGAGATAGGGGGCGGGAGAAGGGAGAAGGGTACCCCCTTCCACCCCTCATTATATGCTTGCAATGAGCATTTGATAAGGTTTAATAAAAGTTTATAGTTGTACCGATACGGCGATAGTCAAATCGCATTATAGCACATAGATATAGTACTGACCCCAAATAAAAAGAAAATGAAGCCATTTCAATTGATATTTTATAGTGTGTCTTTCTATGTTGTGATGTTACACTATTTTTTCAGGTAGGGTGAAGGTTCTTTAAACGTTTAAACCCGCTGCATTTGTTTGCAGGCTGGTCGAAGTCAGGAACCTGATGTTCAGTGGTTGTCGTTTGTTGATGTGGTTCATAAGTGTTTCTCGTTTCTCGTTTTTTATATTGATTAGACCGTTGGTTTTCCTGTTTGAATGGTTTTACACGTCATTTTTGGGGCCCCTATATAGCTTGCTGTTCGGTGTGAGCCAAGGCTCCGTATTGAAGGCCGTACTTTTACCTATAATGGTTTACTTTTACAAATTGTGACTAGGATGGAGAGTTGTCTCATTAGCACTCATACCACATCTTCTTATATCTATGTAGAGAATATCATATGGGATTTTTTCAATATTACATCCATATCAACCCGAGACACCATTATAATTCAAAGAGCTCTGCTCGATGGATTATATTGGTTGAGGGTCGATACAGTGCGTGATATCTTATACTCATTATTTATTTATTTATTTATATCCCTCTAGTACATGGTTTTTTTTCCACATGAGGATTTAAAACCTAAAGTTCAAAATGAAATTCCAACTACCATGACTTTCAGCAATAAGACTATGATAATATACAAGATATAGAAAACAACTTTAACACATACTTTACAACAATATGGGATAAATATATTACAACTAATATCAAGCAGATAAATTAAATAGTTTCGTGCAAGATAAAATCCCCCCGAATGTTAAATTTTTACATGTATAGTATCTTACTCTAAGTCAACATGATATGTCCGGATGTAGTGATCCTGCGAACTGTTAACACCTTTTTTAGCTAAAAAAAAACCTTAAAAATAATAGCTCGGCGTATCTGATACAATAAAGACATTCATTGTTTCAACCGCCGCTATTTAGATAATGCGTGTCATTGAAACGTTGAAACACAACAATTTAAATCATGAATTATTTCGGGATTTGTTAAACTTTTGTTTAGATACAAAATGTCTTCCATGAAAAAGTTTATACATGTTGACGGTCATTTCGAAAATGACAGCCAACTGATAATTTTTGACACCGAGAATAAATTTTCGTTAAAATCATAACACAAAAAGATGATTCTCAAATTTTGTGATTTGTTTTAATAAAAGCTCACTTTTTACCACAAATTGGACACCAATTATCAATTTAAAAGAGCACAATATATCTCATTTAATTTTGTCCTAAAGTCCTAAGTCCTAAAACAGAAATAGTTTTCCTTAAATTTGTTTTTTTTTTATTAAAAACTTCTTTTTTATCGACAATTTGACACTGGGCATCAATCTAGAATTCCATAGTATACCCTAATGTAAACTGTTGTTGAAGTCCTAGCACATGAAGATCAAAATCAAAATCGTAATTTGTTTATTTTAAATAAAAACTTAGATTTGTTACGACACTTCCCTCCTAATTTTCACATGCCACAAATTTGAGACCTATGGATTCAATTATCATTTTCCATTAAAATTCTAGCTCAAATATAAATTTCCAAATTTTTATGTTTTTTACCCAAAAAGAATGACTTTTTGCAAAAATTCCTCCCCCATTTTAACTAAGAAAATCGACAAAATTATCTTTCACTTACAGATCATGACTATTCATAAAAATATTGATATCAGATGAGGCAATCTTGGTTTATAATGCGGCATAAAAATATTGACAACGGACAGACAGACAGTTATTGGTGAAGGGCACGGCGGATTGGTCGGCGTGGTCTTATTAAAAAACCAGACCAAATGACATTGAACCATTATAGCCTAATAGTTTTGCTCCCCAACAAAAGTAAACCGGAACAAGTCATGGAAGTTCAGTATATTGCTGTACCAATTACATGATAAATGTATATATAATTACGAAACGATTTTAACACTTTCAATGATTTGTGCTATGACAAGTAAGCGACACCGAATCTTTCACGATATTTTTTACGATCACAAAAAATTGGTACCGATCCCTCACGATCATAAATATCAAATTTATATAAATATTTCCATTTTGCTCCAATTTTTGATAAAGCAACTACAAATAAAATTTGAGAGCCATTTGAAACATTACTATAGAACGAGATTATTCAGAAAATAATAATTTAGACATTCATATAGTGAAACAAATCAAGTTTGTTTACATTTTTTATGTCATCGGTGATCTTTTAAACTCTGATTTTCTCAGATACTGATCATAATGTTGTACCATTTTGACAGACAATTTTACTTTTTTCAAAATTTGTTCTTCTAACTCAATAAATTAGATTATCTATTGACCTTACGTGTGTCTTCTCGATAAGATTTCTTTCACGATCCCATACTAGATCTTTCACGATCCAGTCGAAATACTTGACCACCGTTACTTATTCTTTAACGAACATTCTTCTCGATAAACCGAATGCCAGCCGTGCAACGGTTATGTTCTCATCGGTTTAGTCATGTAGATTTTATTGTAATTCCAAGACAAATTCAACGATTAAGATGAAAACAACTAGGAGTGTTTGATTAATTTAGACGTGTAAAGGGAATGACTGATCACTAAAATATTTGTTTTCATGTCGATTTAGTACATTGTATTTCAATCAAAAAATTATGATCAATTTTGACAAAATATCTCGACTATATACGTTTTGAGTGAGCATCTCAAACCTACATTACTTCATACTGAAGATGTTACATTTAGGCCGTTTAAAACCGATTTTATTTATTGCGGTTTGATTTTAATTTTACTCATTTTGCATTTACATATCACGTAGCCTAGGCAAAGTACATAATTGAAACCTTAATGAGCATTTACCGTAATATCCTGAAGAACCTTATATACAATTGGTTCTGTTTGATTAGATCTTGTATAACAAGCTGTTATAGAAAAAACTAATCTTTGAAAGAGATTTACTAACTGTTTAA